TATATAGAGTAGGTTCTCTTAGGTTGCCAGTGGGGTACTCTTAGGCTCTCACTAGGAGGTTCTCTCTGTCACATCTAGAAGTCTGGTCTTTGGCCCTGTTGAGTTTCTCCAGCAAACTCCTCCAGTCTCTAGTCTGGGCATGCAGCAGGGATGAGGGTAGCAGAATTCCACTTGAGCTCTTTGCTTTTGCTCCACTTGCCATCCATGTCCTCCACCCTTCCTGCAGTCCCTATATGAAGCCTTTCCAGTGTGGTCTCTGGAGAGAGTTCAGTCTCCTTTGCTAGGCAAAGAGGGTGAGTGGGAGACCTGGGTTCTGACCTCCTGCTGGGGACTCAGCTTGCTCTTTAATCTATTCTGCTCTGCTAAGTCAGGATGATCCCTCCATCCACTTTCCAACTCACAGAATGCATTTAATCTCTTATCCACTGACATCTCCTCTGTCATTCTCTATCATCATGGACCTGTACATATTAAAACTTCTCACGGTGCCTTTAGTGGCTTTCTGTGAGGGAGTGGAGAGAGACACATACTTTCAATAAGCTGTGCAGAGTACTAAACTAGGACTGTTCCCAGAAATTCCAGAGTGGTGATCTCTAGTCAGAGTGGCTGGGGAGAGTAGCCAATGGTCTCCTTGGACCATCCTGGACAGGTGGAGGCCAGAGATGATGGCTGAGCATTAACACATCTTCTGACCCTAAAATTCCCCACTCTGCAGAGTTTAGACTTCTAACAACTCCAGACTGCCAGATCTGAGTTTGAGGGACACAGAGATAGCTGGAAGGGAGCTCAGGAATCATCCCAATGTCGCCCAGTCTCAAACAAAGCCCCACTGTGTATCCTGATGTACACATGCAGGCCTGTCCTCATTTCTGCACTTGCAGGACATACGGCACCCCAAGATCATTTGCAACTAGGCTTCCACCCACATCATCCCCTGGAACTGTCCTGGCAAAGACCACTCTGGAGCTCCTAATTGCCAAATTCAAGAGAGCCTGCGCTGGTCTTCTCGGCAGCCCCATGACACTGATGAACGCTCACCTCCTTTTTGAAGTTTCCCAAGATCATTTTATCAAGTTACACCAATAATAACCATCACAGTTGAGTTGATTTGCTTTTCCCTGCTCACCCCTCACTACTCCTCCCGCTGCCCGAGACACAGTGGCTCCATCTGTTCCTAGCTGCACCTCCCCTCCACGCCTCCCCTCGCTTTGGTGCTTGAGAGTTGGGAAGGAGCTGGGTATTTCAATTTTCCTTAAGGAATAGTAGTTTACATTAATTGTTTAATGAGAGTTAGGTACTTAGAAGTCCCTTTAATGGACACTGGTTTGCATAAGCTGTTTGCATTTAGATTTTTCTTTAAGGAGTGTTAATTATTTAAACCATCAATAAAACATTGAGGTTTAAGTTTGCTTAAATCATACCCTGGGGCCAAGTGGGAGACTCACTTGGCTCTGTAATGAAGCCTTCTAACTTATGTGTGTGTCTTTCCCTGTCGGCAATATGGTGGAGCTCTTTACAGTTCTTGATCGCTGGTGAGCCATTTGTAATACACACTGAGGACAATGAAGCCCCCAGAGAGGGCCATGCTGGGGTACTTGCTGAATTGTGGCATTTAGAGTCAAATGCCAGGGCCAGACAGCAGACCTGAGGCACCACACTGAGGACCAGAGACCAGGGTCTGCCACTAGCCTGAGAGAGAAGAGGCAGAAAGGTTTTCCAAAGCCTCCAGTGTGTTCTCTCCCTTTTTGGCCAGTACCTCCTACTGTGGGAATGTGAATATAAAATGTATTCATTTCCTTCCTCCTGTCAGGAGAATCCAGGCTGAACTTCTGAGGTTAGACCCCTGAGAAACCAGATCCTGGTAATCTTGGGACTAGTTTGCAGGGCTCTTCAGGGAATCCTCTGAAGCCGATTCCCTGCCTCAAGCAGGAGCTATGGGGTTGCCAAAGATCCCTGCCCTTGGCTGAGACCAGATCAATACTGAGCAGGATGAGCCAAACCAGGGCTCAGTCATTAGGCAGAGAGTCCTAACATCTGATTAGGGACATGACCTATGACCTGCAGACCAGCTGTCAAGAAGACTTGTGCCAAACCAGATGGGCAGCATCTACAGACAAGGCCTTCTGAACTTCCTACAGCAGTGGCTCCTAAATTTAGCTGCATATTGGAATCACTTGAGAGATTTAAAAAAATCCCAGTGCCCAAGTTAAGTACCCCTGAGCAAGGGAGAACCAGCGACTAGACTCAGGCCAGCCCCACTTCCATATCAATTCATGGTACCCAGCTGTGCAAGCCAGAAACCTAGATGTCACCTTTGTGGCCCAAGCATCACCAATTCTTCCAAGGCTGCAAATGCCCCATGCCAGCGGTCACCTTCACACAGAAGACAGTGTGCCCGATGATGCTGAAATGTGATGCTGTGGCCCTGTGTGACTCTGACACATTAGGATCCCTTCCTGTCTTCTCCCCATTCCAATGGCTGCTGCTTTCCTGCAAATGCCTCATCACTTACCGGACGTTTCAATTGTCTCCTGACTGGCTCGTCACTAATCCAGTCTCTGCTTTGGGTCTGGTGATCGAAACATCAAGTCTATTCATGCCATTTCTCTGCTTAAAACTCATTAATAGATCCTCATTGCTTTCAAAATAAAATATGGACCCCTAAGCTCAGCAGTGAAGACCCCCTGCAAAATGACCTCTTTCTCCCAGGGCCTCGTTTCCCACCCTTACCCCCCCTCACACCCTCTGATCCTGCCCCTCAGTGCTACATGCTGTCACACACCTCTGTTCTTCCCTTAACTGCCTGCCAAACACATCCTTTGAGTTCCACCTCAAAGGCAGCTCCTGTGGGAAGTCTGTGCAAACCCTGCTGGCCCCAGAGAGTTCCTCATACCTAGAGGCCACCCCTCCATGCACGCGTCCCACAGCACTGCCATTATTTTTGTACATCTGTCTCTCTTTTTCCCTTCAACCCTTTGGCACTGCCCGAAGACCTTCATTTGCAGACCACGAGGACCAAATAAAGAGCAACTGCCTGGAACACAGGGCAGTTACCATTGGGTCCACTTGCTTCTGCCCACTTTGAATCTCCTCTGCACTGGCTTTCCCCAGCCTGACCTGCTAAATTTGGCATTTTGGTTTTGTTTTCTGTGGATACCACTTGAACTAGTTGCTTGTGATCATGCTGGTGGGCCACAGAATGCTACCTCTAGGCTTTCCCCTGCCCTGCTCCAGTCTGGGCCCCAGGAACATGCTGCACAGTTCCCCTCCAGGAAAGGGATTCATATGTGATTTCTGATGTGCTTCACCTTTGGAACTTAAATGCCTAATACAATGTGTAGGACTAGACCTGGCCTTTAGAAGATATTCACTTACTATTATTGGGTGGGCAGCTGGATGGATGGATGAACAGGTTGGCTGGTAAAGATATGGATAGAAGAACAAGTGGACAGATAAGTGGATGAATGCAATTTCCTTTTAGCTTGCCTTATTCATCCTGATCCCTCCCCTCAAATGGGCACAACTTTTCTACTCTGATACCTCCCCTGTGGTGACCAGCCAAGAGCTACAATGGCCCCTCGGGGTGTGAATCCAAGTTCAAAGGAAGACCAGAATGTCATACCAGGTCAACAAGGAGGCCTCCCTTCCCTAGCCATCTGCTCCAGTGAAAGTCTATAGCACGTAGTTCAGCACTTGATGAACTCCTAAGTTCCAGTTTGGTTGTAGGCATCACTCATTATCTTTCCCTGGAGGTCAAGGGCTCCCCTTTCTTATATCCCTTTAGTCCCATTTTAAGCAGCTTTTGTGTGATTGTGACCAAAATACTAAGCAAGGACAACTTAGAGGAGGGAATGTTTATTTGGGGCTCATGGTTTCCGAGGTATTAGTCCACAGATGGCCCACTCCATTGCTCTGAGCCCCAGGTGAGAAAGGCCATCATGGGGGATTGGCATGGTGAGAAGGAAACTGCTCCTGTCATAGCAGCAAGGGAGTAGAGACAGAAGGGAAGATGCACTCTTGCAGGGCACACCCTCAGTGACCCACCTCCTCCGGCCATGCCCTGCTTGTCTACAGTTATTACCCAGTTAGTCCACCCAAACGAAGATGGGCCAATTAGGTAACAGCTTTCATAATCTAACAATCCACCTCCAAATTTTCCTGCATTAACAGGAGCTTTTGGCAGACATCTCCAAACCATAAGAAGCCCCCAGCTCAGTTCTAATATACAGTAAGTGCTCAAAGTATGCTTGGTTCCTGGGAGAGAAAGAAGCCTCCTAGACATGAAAAGCAAAGCGCTTCCCTCATTGAGGAAGAGGTGGCCATTCTTTCTCTGGAATGCTCAGCCTCTGCAGAGATGGTTTGGCATCTGTTTCTCAATCTGGAATAAATGTTCTGGATCAAGGAGTCCCATTAAAAAGCCTCTCAGAGCACTTAGGGAATTATGCTTGGGGAGTCATTCTTGGCAGCAGATAATAAATCAATCACAGCTCAATGAAAATGCTGAGTTAGAATGGGATTGCTCAGGCCAAGCTCAGAAAGGAAATAGGGATACCCTTTCCCTTGAGACCCGAACTCTGAGACTTTTCTGTGGATTTAGGCTCTGGACTTAGAATGAGCAACTGTCTCTGTTTGCCTGGTTCAGTCCCAGTTTTAGCCACTGTAAATTCTGCATCTTGGAGAACCCCTTGGTCCCAGGCAAATAGGGACAGTTGGCCACCCCAACCAATGCTCTTTTCCTCCCCTTGCCCATCAGCAGCCTCTCTGCACAATGCAGGAGCCCTGTGTGTGCCTCCATGTGTATGTGAGCTGCACCCTGCTTCCAGCTATCATCCTGGCAGTTACCGTGGTAGCAGGGTCTAGTCTGTAGCCAGGGAAAAGAGCAAGTGGCTCCTGTCACCAATCCTAGGGACTGAATTCTGAACCTCACCACTTGCCTTGCCCCTCCCCCAGCTTCCAGTTGGGGAAATGACAGGAAGGGAAGGGAAGAAAAGCAAATGTACCTGAAGGAGGGAGACATTGGCAAGGCTGAGTCTGAAGAGGTAGTTCCTGTGAAAACAGAAACAGAAATTGTAAGCCAAGCTAGTTCTGCAGGCAGGACCCCAGGAAGCAGCCTCCTGACCCAGGCCTCATGGGATGCCAGGACTGGGGACTGGCTATGGAGAGCCTCTGGTGGGCCCACACACAGGGAGGGCTTTACCTCCATTAGCTCATTTAACTTTCCCACAACCTTGGTGATAGATACAGGAAACTCGATTTTTGCTGTCAGGAAACAGGTTGGGTCAATGGCCCAAGTCACTGAGATGGTCTATCAAGGAGTTGAGATTAAAACTCAGTCTTGTCCACCTCCAGGCACTATGTTATATCTGCTGTTGGTTGGTCCCCAAAGGAAACTCTTGATGCCAATAAATAAAAATTAGAGGAGACCATTCTATTGGACTAAAACCTCACACTGGGTCTAAAAACCAAAATTGAGTCACTCATGCTAAAGTTCCCCATCACCAAACTGAAACTGACCTTCAGAGAAATCAGGAGAAAGAGAACAGGCACATTTCTCAAGAAGGCCAGTTTCAACTTGCCATGATAGTGGAGTTGCCTCCGCCTTACACACATATGCACGCATGCACACGCACACACACACACACACACACACACACCATAACTTGAAGTAACCTGATGTTCACCAATCAATTTATTTCTACTGTTCTATCTCCCTGTCCTCACCTCATGAGGAAAGTAACTCTGAAACAACCAAAGTGCTTTTTGTACTTTATTTCTGCTTTTTTCAGCCCTTCTATGTAAAACCAATCTCTTTGGTTCAGCCCATCGGAACCCTTATTCTATTTTATGGAATGAAGTGTTGCTGCATTCTAGAATCAAAAATAAAGCCAGTAAAGATCTGTAAACTAAATTGTCATAACTTGTCTCCTGACTCCTACTTTTCCCAACCACGGGCCCTGTTTCTGTTCAATTTTAATCTCACAGAGCTCTTGCAGGACTCAGGCAGGCCGGCTTTCTCCTCCCTTCCCACCGCCCACACCACTTGCCCTCATTTCCTGTTCTCAGTGACTGGACCTGCCTTCTGCCCAGGTCTGACCTTTCCATGGCCACCTCCCTAGAAAACTCTGTCTCCTCCAGCTCAGTTAGTTACTCTACCCCCGACCCCGAGGGCATAGTGTTCCAATTATTTTTTAGTGTGTGGTAGTGGGGATTGAACCCAGGAGTGCTCAATCAACCCACTGAGCTACATTCCCAGCTATTTTTAATTCTTATGTTGAGGCAGGTTTTGTGAAGTTGCTTAGGCTGGCCTTGAACTTGTGATCCCCCATCTCAGCCTCCAGAGTAAGTGGGATTACAGGTGTGTGTCACTGCCTCGGGTTACACTAATCTTCCCCAAACACTGTTTTCATCCAGTGGCCGCTCCTTGAAAGCCTTAAAAAATAATAATGTTGCTGCTAATAATAATAATATCAGACACTGTGTGCTCTTAAGTATTGGTGCTGCTCTGAAGTCAGAAGACTGCCACACAGGGACTTGGAACGCCTGAGTCAGAGTGCCATAGGAAAGAGACTTCAAGTTCATGGGACAGACCCTGTGGCAGAGACAGACAGAATCCCAGGTGAGCCACTTGCTGGGGGACCTTCTGCGGGCCTCAGTGCTGGCATCTCTTCGATGGAGAACTAGTGAATGCCTGTAGTGTTTATTCCACAGGCCCACGGAGACACATTAAAGGTGTTATTAATGACAGGCAGATGTAAAATCTTGGTTTTCCCAAAGGATCTCCTTTTTTTTTCCTTCTTCTTTCTCCTTTTGGCCATTCCTCTTTGGGTTCCTGAAATTTCTAGGAATAATTACTTCAGAAGACTCTGGCTTACCTCAGCTTTGCTGAGAAGAGAAATGAGGGGAAAGTTGTGGAGTGGGCCAGAAAGGGAAGGAGGGGCCCTGCTGGAGGAGGCCAGGGGTGGAAGGGGACACCTCAGGCCAGGAGACTCCTCTCCTGGCTCTGGCTACAGGCCCAGGCCCCACTCAGCTCTACTGCTATCCCGGGGCTGGGCGGGGCTCACTCGAGACCTTGGCGCCAGGCCTCTGCTGTCCCTCCCAAGGCCCCACACAGGGTCTTGGCAGCGCTTCCCAGGCCCACGCTCCTGGCCTGGGGACAGATGGGCTCCAGCTTAGGCTCTGGCCCAGCTGTGTGCTCAGGTGACGCAGGCAGCTGCTCACAGCTTTAACAAATTAGGGGAAACAGCGCAGCACTCGATTCATTTTTATCCCATCAAAAATCATTCATCACAGCATCTCCAAGGGCTCTTCTGGGAGCAGGAGGATGAGAACAGAGAAATCTCTGCAGTCAGACCCACCCACCCTCAATCCCATAGGGAACAAGGCGGGGTTATAAATGGAGAAAAAATATCCCTAGCCTGAATTTCAGGTCCAAGGGGGTCAAGAAGACAGAGAAAACATGGCAGGCAGAGAAGGAAGAAGGAAAGTGCCCTAGAAAAAGAAGGAGGAGAAAAAGCAGACAAGCACCCACAGCCTCAGCTCTAGAGGCATAAGGGACCAGTCCAGGATGGGCTTTCCCTGTCCATCTGAGAGCAGAGCCTGGCTCAAGGACTCAAGCGTGCCTTCAGCAGTGCAAGGGAAGCCTCTGGACCCAGAAAACATAACCACTATTTACATGGAGAGGCTCCAGAGTGGATCAGGAGGAGCACTTCAGTTTCCTGGTTCATAAAATGGAAGTAATCATAAGAACTCATCTCCTGGGGTTACAGTGTAGAGAAAATAATTTACTGCCTGTGTGATTTATCACACATATGATTTACTGCATGTATGATTTATTACATAGATGCTACATAAAATAATGCCTGGCACATGGTAATTTCCAAAACACTTTTAAAAATTCATTATTTTCCCAAAATGCTTTCACAAGGTTCAGAGCAAGGAGTCTTCAGATGCTACCCTTTGGGTTTTAGAAAGTACATATATATAAACTGGTGGAATCAGAGTGGATGGAAGGATAGCATGAATGTCAGTTTCCAGGTTACAATGTTGCCCTACAGTTAAGCAAGATGTGACCACTGGAGGAGACTGGGTGATGGTATATAGAATCTCTACATTGTTTCTTACAACTGAGCGCGAATCTACAATCATCTCAAAGTAGGAAGTGAAACAATTACTTTGTTCACCATAAGATAAAGTTTAGTCTCCTTTATACCTGCATACATACAGATGACCCTCAGGAGGATACAGGGCACCCCAGGAAGGGTCTGGTGTGAGGACATGGCCCTGCTTTTCCCTGGGCGCTCTTTTGTAACTTCTGAATGTTACATCATACCACATAATGCTGGTGCAAAATAAACAGTTAATTCATATTTTTAAAAAATGAAAAGAAAATGCTTTCAGCCCCAGCTTCACAGCAGCCCTATAAGGCTGACAGCATAGAGACTAAATCCAGGATTTACAGATGAGGAAACTGAGACTCAAAGGTCAAGTTCACCCGGAACAAAACTCTAGCTCATCTGTTCCCAGTTCAGCTCTGTTCAAGACTTGGCCTCCTTTTCTCATAGCAAATGGGAGTCAGAGGCACAGAAGGCCAAAAGGCAAGGAAGGCCAGCTTCACAGAGCAGCCTGGAAAGGCCCAACCCAGGGGCGATGCCTCCCCAACCCCAGACCCAGTGAATCAGAACCTCAGGGGTAGAGAGGGAAAACTAACGATCAGCGCATTCAGAGTGCATAACACAAACTCACCCACAGGTCAAAACTAGCCCTGGGGTTAGGAGACCTGGGTTCTGGTCCCTGTGTCCTTTGTCATTGTGCTAGATGAGGAAGGTCCCCTTTCCCTCTCAGGGCCTCTGCTTCTTCATGTTTAAAATGAAACCAATCCAATCACACCAGCCAATCTCAAACTTGAGCCTGCACCAGTCACCTGGAAGGCTCGTTAAAATATAGGTTGGGGCCCTGCCCCCAAGTTTCTGATTCCAGAAGCCCAAGAGTTTGCATTTTCAACCAGATTCTAGCAGCCGCAGAAGCTGCTGACTCAGGGACCCACTTTGAGACCCACAGGATAGGCCATCTCTAATCTCCCTCCCTAATAGGATGCTGATCTAGGATTCTGAGGAATTAGCCCCTCCCACTCCACCCAGAAGATCTCATGGGGCCTCCCTAGAGAGTTTTATCTGAACAATGAGGTTACCCGGAATAGGCCCCAAGGAAGTAAGGCCATTCATAAAAGCAGCACAAGGCTTTTGATAGGCACCCGAGGCGCAGGTGGCCAGCTGACCAGCAGGGGGCTCCTGGGCACCTTCTCTGTGCAGAGTTCCCGGGAGTTGGCTAACTAGGCAGGTCCTGGCATCGCCACAGGGACAAGGGCAGGAGGTGGCCAGCAGGCATCCTTGCTCTCATTTCTGCCAATCACTAAAGAATGTGGCTGGCTGAGATCAGGATGCCAGATAGGGTCAGGCCCTGACCCTGCCCCCCCCACCCGCTGACCCCCACCTGCTTCCTTCCTTGGGGGACAGACATTCAGGCACAGAAAGAGTCTAACAGAGAGGACTAGAACCCAGAATGTGGGTCATCTCCAGTAATCGTCTCTATATCCAATTCTGAGCATCCCACACCTGACCCCAACTCTCCTGCACCTCATTACCTGGCTCCCACGATGAGCTGGTTCCTGGAGGGATCCAGAGCGAGCTGGGAGAAATCTCGGGCTCCAGGGAAGGTGAAGTTAGAGACCCACGGCTTCAGATCTGGTGGAGGGAGAGGTAACCCTTCCGTTACTGTTGGACCAGGGCCCCCCCGCTGCACCAGCCTCAGATCAGAGATGCAAAGAGGTGAAAGTCAGGGTGAAGTGGGGTAGAGGCCCCAGGATGCCTGGGTTCCACCTGCCCACCTCACAGGGCAGGCAGTCATGGGACCCTTGGTTCAGAGGAAGTCTCCACCCTCCCCACAAATGCACAAAGGGACACCTGTAACTGCCCTTGACTCCCCCTTATCTTCAGCAGCCACACCAGTACACACTGGTGTGCCCTGTCTGTTCTAACTCCAGATTGTCCCCTAACTCCATCTACTTCTTTCTCTCTGGACCCGACTCCCGCACACAAGCAGTCATCATCTCTTGCCTGGACTGGTACCAGCAGCCTCCTGACCAGCCTGGCTTCCACTCCTGCCCCCTTTAGTCTTTTTCTCAAAGGCAACCAGAACAATCTTGCGAGTATGCTATGTCACTCTGAACCTTGGATCCCACCCCAGCTCCTTAGGAGAAGTCTTGACTCCTCTGGGAATCCACTGTCCTCCCAAGTTAAATGCCTAATGATCCATTATTTAGGGATCAAAAAAAAACCAAAACAACAATGATATTTCATCTCTCCCTCAAACTCTTTACCCTGGTCACATTAAACACTTCACACACCTCTAAATCTATCCCATAAGAGCCTGCAAACCTTTGCACCTCTCTTCTCCCTTGATGGAATAGTTCCTATCATGCCCCACCCCACCTCCTCCAAGAAGCCCTCCTGGGCTCCAGGGGCTCCTTCTGCTTTAGTGCCATCCTAACCCCATCACTCTGTGCATCTACCCTCGGGGTTTCTTCCGGGGCCTGGACAGATCTTACTTCTTGGATATCCAGGCTCAGCCCTGCACCTCCTGCTGTTTGAATGAATGTATTTATACCCCCCAACTTCTACGAGGAAAGACAGGGTTTCAGACAAGATTCTGCAGAGATGGGAGGAATGGAGGGCGGGCTGTCAGTGTCCACCCCTGTTTTAAAAGAAGGTTCTTCCTAGCCAAAGCCAAAGCCTTGACTTTTCAAATGAATTGAATGGGCAGAGTAGTCTCTGGGAGAGCATGCCTAAGCTCTGCCAGCTAACTTTTCCTCCTTCAAGAGACCCACTGCTCCCAGCTTGGCCCACGACAGCTTAATACTCTTGCTCAGCCCATGCCTCATAGCTGGGAGGGAACTGGCACCTGTGAGGGGAGAGCAGTAATGTCTGTGGGGGGTGGAGGTGAAGGGGAATAGGAGGCACTGCGCTCTCACAGCACACCAGCTACTGGCTCTCATAAGGCCCAGAGGAGGGCGTGTGCGTGAGTGTGTGTGTGTGTGTGTGTGTGTGTGTGTGTGTGTAGTAATCCAAGGGAAATAAATCATTGCTCATTATCCCTCCACTACAGAGTAAAAGCAGCCCTTCATTTCTGCACGACAGGCAAACACTTAATCGCTCCCTGGAGAACTGGAGGTTTTGCGAGTTGGATGTTTTTCAGAAAACTGTGATACGCACGATTTAAAAAAGAAGAAATTCTGCAGCAAAAAGAAGCAAATTCCTCAGGCCTGCCCCTGCTCCCAGCAGGTGACTATGGGTTGACAGAACCATCATATAGCCTCAATGGCATTTGGGTAATAGGCAAAAGGAGTAGATCTTAAGTCCAGTGGGTGGGACTTTAGCTGATCTCAGGCCACTCTTGAAATCCTGTAGGATGTTGTATTACCTTAGAGACTAAACCAAGGGCCCTCCCTCTCCAGGAAGACCTCCTGGGTTATGACCTCTCCACTCCTGGTTGTATTTTGTTCTACATTCTCTCCTACCTTTTATGTTCCACTCACACTGTATATTACTGTCACAGTGAATGTGCCCATGTTGTGAGTGTGTGTGTGTGTGTGGAAGGAGGTTTGCCTGTCCCCATCAGACCAGGTGCTCCCTATCAGTGGCAAATAGGTTATACTTTAATTCTCTCCTGCTGACAGGAGCATTCCAGATGTGGGCAGCTGGGTGGGGGAGGAGGTGGCATGGCCAGTCCACACCAAATACTTCATCTGGGGACTTAGCTCAGTCTTCATTCAGTTTTTTTTTTTTTCCCCCCCAGAAAGGAGGGAAGGAAAGGAAACAGAGCCAGAGCAGTAGACAATGGGGACCGTGGGGTTGGGGGCCTCTTCTAGTGTCTGTCTCTCCCCTGAAGCCCCTCAGGAAGGCACATGGCAAATGGAAAGGGGTGAGGGGGGAGAGAGGGGCCGGGCGCAGCGCCGCGGTCCCGGGGGAGCCTTGGGAAGGGAGCCAGCCTCCTCTTATTAAACAGGCAAAGGGACCAGAGGGAAGGCTGTCTTTAAAACACCACGCACGTCCTGAGCTCCGTGTGCAGCAAAGGCTTTGGATGGCGACTTTAAGAGAAAAATGACATTCTCCATGACGCGCCTGTGATTTTAATTATAGTCAATTCAATTACCCACTTTGTGGATTAACCACTGCCAGTGTTAACTCCAGACTGGCTTCTCCCGGCCTCCTAGAAAGGACAGGCGGTGGCAAGCGGAACAATACGCAGGCCACGGAGAAACACAGGTGGGCCCCCTTAACAGAAACCCAGGGGGGAGTGTTTAACCTTACAAAACAGAAAACCCGCCAGTCAGAATCTGGAACTGGCAGCTCCTCTGGGGTACTCAGGGGTTATTCACAGATCCATCAGGTGTCAGGGGACAGGGAAACTCACAGCTGCAAGGTGGGAGGCCTGCCACTCAGTGAGGACTGAAGGGAAACGGCTGGGGGTCAGTGCTGGGCTGGGTCAGTGCAACTGTCCAGAATCAGCAGGGCCTCACCGCTCACCCCGTGTGAACCGAGTCCCTACTGTGTGATCAGCCGTGCTAGAGATGCAAGGGGACCCGAGAAACAGTCCGGATTCCAGGCCAGCAGCCCCGGGGGACCAAAGGCAGCCACCTTTAAGGAACGACATGAGGTAACTGAGTACCCACAGGAAATACCCTTCCCTTTCTAAGCCCACAGCCCGGCTCTGTGCCGGGGCACCACCCAGGCCCACAAAAATTTGGTGAGCCCAGCATGTGCAAGGCCCTACGTTTGATCCCTGCACCCCCCACATACAAATGATAATTTGGTGAATGGATAGGAAAACTCAAAGCTGTCAGAATGGGGAAGTGGAAGGTGGAGTGGGAAGTCAGATTTGTCTAATTCACAGCTCAAGATCAAAATAGTCTCAGGGAACCCAGGCACTCAGGCTCTCCCACCTACCCGCACCACACACACATTTTGCCCTGACACAGACCAGGAAATGGTCCATTAGGAGCTGTCACAGGGGCTCCCCAACAGCCCTAGGAATTCTGTTCCTTCTGTCCCCTCACTTTAGTGACAACCACCAGTACTCCAGGGGCCATCAGATATCTGAGGGTATGTGCATTCTGCAGGCTTAGGACATTGCTAATTGCCTATAATCCACTTAAGGCTTCAAAGCTTCAGTGCAGAAAAGACAGCTGGAAACTTTCCCACTTTGAGAAGGGAAGTGGAACCCACACTTTCAAAGTGCCCCCAGCCTCCCCACCCAGGAAGCCCCCAACTCCCATCCTTGTGGCCCCTTCTATCCCTCAAATACCACTTTAGCCTTAGAGTACTGATTGTTTTCTCTGCTCTGGTTTCCATCTCGTGGGGCCCTACTGACCAGGTGGAATCCCACAGGACAGGGTTGTATGTCCTCCTGTCCAGGGTACGGGAGGGGAGAGCACCTGATTGATTGTTCTATCACAGGCCGTGGAGTCAGGAGACAGACCTACTTTGAGGTTCTGCTCTGAGTCTTCCAGCCCTCACACCTCAGTCTTCCTGTTTGTAAAAGGAGGTGACAATCTCCTTGCCTTGCTGTCTCTCCCCAGTGGAGTTAATATGAGGAGTCGGCCAGTGTTGATCAGACTCAAGAACCCAGGGACCCTGGACACTACGCCTGCAGATTCCAGCTTGAGCCACGGCCACCTAGATGGTAGATCCTGAAGTTTGAATGTGATCGTAGCACAACTAGAGACCCTCAAACTGGTTAATGGGAGAACATCCAGGCCTCTGTGGTGTCTGTGTTTTGCTTTTTGGATTATCATCAAATGTATATAATAATTTTAGAAATCATGAAGAACTTATGGACCTTTTGGAATATGTCCAGTGATTCACAAATCCCAGTTTGGGAAACACTTTAATAGAATACTCCCACGCTCTCTCTTGACACACAGGGCCCCCTTTCCATGGGGGTTCCCAGGACTCCAAAGCCAGGCATCCCTGCAGCTGACTTAGAGCAAGAAGGAAGCCTTCCAGAGCTCTCCAGGCAATTCCTAGTGAGTGAGCGGCTCCTCTGTATCCTCCCCTACAGCAGCCAAGGAACGGAGCCTATGCTTCCAGAACAGCTCTGAGACCACCACCAAATCTTGCCACTCTCACCTGAGGCCCATATGACTTCATTCTCTAACTAAAGAATCCCAGCAAAAGATTACAGTGGCCCCAGGAGGTGAATGAAGGGCCTGAATAAATTACCTGGAGACAAAAATTAGACCCCTCCCCGCAATGTTACCTGTTCTTCTTAAAATATCTATCAGATGATGAGTCTCAGCACCCTATCAGGAAATGAACATCCCAGGGGCTTCCAGCAGCTGGGAAGACCCTGCTGAGGCCTGACTTCCTTTCTGACTTGGATGCTCTCACCTTCAAAGGCCACGGTAGGGTGCTCCTTCAGGCCGCACAGCTGCTGCTCACCGCTGGACTCACTGGAGACATCCTGGGAGCTGGAGAGGTGAGATACCAGCAGGGTGAGGCTGGGAAGCAGCAGCAAGATGACCAGGGGTCTCGGTGCCATCATGGTGGACGCCTTTGCGGTCCCAGCTTCTGGGGACAGCCTGAGGAGAGGACCTGAAATGCAAAACCCAGTCTCACCAAGTGTTCCCTCCATGGAGGCCCACTTCTCTCAATTTCCTTTAAAGACCCCCACAGGGTTTTTAAAGATAGATTGGTATTGTATTTATGTTATTCAGAGTTTACTAGTAATAGAAAGTTATAGATCATGTCTTGAAAGCTAATTTTCCTTGTAATGGTATCCTGGACAAAACTGACAAATTATAGAGATTTTTCGATTATGATCCCAAATGGTTGAAAATTAGTTTTAATCATAGAGGTGGTATTTAAGAGATTTTAATAAACAGAACTGGGGTAATAGGTAGCCATTTGTAAAAACAAAACAAATAAAACTTAAACCCAAGACCTTACACCCTATACTAGGAAAAATTGCAATTGGATAAAAGATTTAAATGTTAAGGATAAAACCATAAAAGTACTAGAAGAAAATTTGGGCAGAATCCTTTGTATTTTAGAATGAAAAATCATGACTCAAGATCCATAATCCATTAACAACTCTGACTACATTAAAAGCACAAACTTATGTATGATTATGTAACAACGAACCCTACTATTGTGTATAATTATAATGCACCAACTTTAAACAATGGGAAAAAGCACAAACCTGTGCGTGTCCCCCTCTCCCGAAATAATAACATTAAGTAAAATCAAAAGGCAAATGACAAATTGAAAAAAAATTGCAATTCTTATTACAAACCAGAGACTAATATTCCTAACATACAAAGAACTCCTCAGAACCAAAAAGAAAAAGACCAAGAATTCAGTAGGAAAGTGGGTAAAAAATATAAATACAAACAGTGCTTAAAATACAAATGACACTTAACTTCACTCATAAGAAGAGCAATACCAATTAACACTTAGGCTTCTCAACTATCAAGGTAATAAAAATCCAAATTAGAGAACACATTTTTTTTTGTGAATTTGTGGGGAAAGGGGCCAGTGTGTGCAAAATGGCATATCCCTGTGGAAGGTAGCCTGGGAGTATCTGGCAAAACTGCCCATGTATTTACCATCTGACCCAGTAACCTATTTTGGAGGACTAGGCTTGCCATCCTCAAAGTGGGGGGTCTGTAGACAAGTGTGGATTCACAGTGTAATGGCTCTCAGTGAGACAGATGCAGAAATGTGAGAGTCAGGTGCTGGGGTCATAGTGCAGTGGTAGAGCACCTGCCTGGCATGTGTAAGGCACTGTGTTCAATTCTCAGCACCACATATAAATAAATATTCATTGACAACTAAAAAAAATGAAAAATAAAGAAATGGGAAGATCAGTATTTAAAACCTTTATAATAATTAAAGTAATGTTTATGTGTATTAAAAATATTTGGAGCTCAGGGTACAACTTGGGGGTAAAATGCTTACATAGCTTGCGTGAAGCTCTGGCATGATCCCTGGCACTGCCAGAGAGAGAGAGAGAGAGAGAGAGAGAGAGAGAGAGAGAGAGAGAGAGAACAGAATATTCGGGCTTGCATTTTGCATGTTGTTTTTTCAATTCTCTTCTCTAGTAATTTACTTTTATTGAATTTTACATAAGTATCCATCTGCGACAGATTGCAAATTGAAAAATCAAACTTGCTCTGTCACCACAGATAGTTAGGAGCAAAAATAGACTACAGAGGCACCTGCACATGTGCAAAGTGACTTATGTATGAGATTATTCACTGTGGCAGTCTTTGAAATGATAGAAAGACAAAAAACACCCAAATATCTAAAAACAGGCTGCTTAATTAAGCTATGGTGCATCTTTTAATGGAGTACTATGCAGCTGTGAAAAGAATGATTTTCTCTTCTATGAAATGAAAGGTTGAACTAGATCAGGGGCTTCTGACAAGGCATGAAATGAATCAGAATCACTTCCTCTGGGGGAAGAGGCCTGGGTTGGCAGGTGAGGGTTCCAAAGGTGAGATCCAAAGGACCAGAAGCCCCTGTGGTTGCTTCCCACTCCAGGACCTTTGCTCCTAACTCTTCCTCTCTCTTCTACCTCCCTCCAGGTCTGGAAAATAACAGTGAGATTCTTTTCCTCCTGCCTAAGGCTCCCCATGAGTGTGAAATGGGTTGATATTCATCATTTGACTTGCTGCAAGACCTCAAGGAAATAATGACAGACACAGCTGCTCTACCCTGCCCTGTCTAGCACCCCACAAGGAATTAGTTCCCATAACCCCTCTTTGATTCCCTCATCCTCAGGCACAAACACACACATTCTCTGCACTCCCCAGAAGGGCCTGGCCACTCCTCTCAGTAGACACACAGAGAAGTTGAGTCCAAACTTTTTCACACTGTAACTCACACAGAGTTTGTCTTGGTGCTAGGCAGAGTCTTCTTGCCATATCGGGTTTGGCTCTTCTGTCTCAGCCTTGGTGCCCACCATAACTCTTCCCAACACTGGTCCCTGACCTCTCAAACAGGGCCACAGGAAGTGGAGAACAGGGTACCAAAGGGTAAGAGCAACCTTCTGGAGCCAAATAACCTGAGGTCAAATCCCAGCTCTTCTTACTAACTGTGTGACTCTGAGAAAAATACTTAACCTCTCTCTGCCATAATTTCCCCAAATCGGGAATGATAATGACAATAACCATTTCACCAGCAGCTGTGAGGATTACAGGAGTCACTGCCATTAAAAGACCTAGAACAGTTCCTGACAGACAGTGAGCAATCAACTAGTGTGAGCCGACCTGCTGCGGGCAGGAGGGTTCCCTTGGGCCCTTTGACATTGTGCTGGATACTTCCATTGGCACCTCCAAGTCTACTCTCTCCTTCCAGAGACCCCTGCATGGACTGCATCCAGGCCTCCTTTTCCTCCATCTGGTTTGACCAATGGAGCTGGAGGAAAAAGCAGTGGGAGTTGGCTATAACCCCGACAGGCCAGGGCTCCTGTGTGCTCCTCTGCTTCTAGGTTTCCCAAACTCTCCTTCCCCTTCCCTTCAGAACCAGGGGTGGTACCACCCCCCGGGGTTACCAGCCCCAGGTACTGCACAGTGAGCATCCTATATGGTCCCCTACCACCTTCCATACCCTTGTGAGCTCACCATCTGCAACCTGCGGGGAGCCTTCTGATACGACACATCATCAGGAACTCAAATATCATCCTCTGAGACCTTGGCTTGGACTTTTCTTCCATTAAGCCCCAAGGACATCTAAGTTGGCAAGACACCTGTCCTCCCTCATCATCCTCAGCCCTCCCCTCCCCCACTCTCCCCTCCCAGGCTTCCCTTCCTCCCACCCAGGTCTGACTACCACAGAGCCTAGGAGACACAGGGCTGGCACTCTGGGACCAGATCTTGAGCCCAGGGGCTTGAATTAAAAGAACATCCTTGGCCCCTTCTCCTCCTTGAGTCCCCAGGCCCTAAGTCTCCTAAGTCCTGTCGCAGAAGTTCCATTTTCATTATGGTGTTTATGTAAATATGTCCTCCAAGTCCTTCCTGAATCAATAATTGCTAAATTAATATCAGTGTGTCCACCTGGGCCTCAGCACAGCATGTCTGTCTGCTGTTTCTGAAGAGAAGGGACGCAGGGGACATGATGGGGGCAGGGCAGGGAGAAGGTCAGTCCTGGATCCGGGATCTCCTCTCTCAGTTACCTTCCCCCTGGGTGAGGGAGGAGAAAGACAGAGAAAGGCACCTGGACACGCACACAGCACACCCCAGAGTTACCCAGAGGCTGCAGGCCACAGGAAAAGCCTGCAGGCCACAGGAAAAGCCTGTACTCAGGTCAGTGTCCCCGTCATCAGGAGCTGGAGACTCACACTTAGACCTATTTTGCCATCACTTCAAGGACCTCCTTCCCTCGTGCAAGAAAGGCAGTGAGCCCTAAGAGGGGTGGGAAGCAGGGTCAGAGGAGCAGAACAGCTAGGAAGGGGCTGTAGTGTGGGGGTGCCGATGGCCAGAGCGCAGTGAGCCAGGGCGGGCGGCTTAGCAGATTTCAGCAGAACCCGGGTTGGGGGACACCCTAAGAAAAGAGTGGCCAATTCTCACATCACTGAGTGGTACCAGGCCTGACATTTTGAGCAGAGCTCCAAATACTTGGATTTTATTTTTATTGTTGTTTTGGTACCAGGGACTGAACCTGGGGACACTCTACCACTGAGCTACATCCCCAGCCCTTCTTACTTTTTAAGACAGGGTCTCACTAAGTTGCCAAAGCTGGCCTTGAACTTGTGATCCTCCTGCCTCAGCCTCTGGAATAGCTGAGATTACAGACATGCACCACTATGCCTGACAGAGTTCTAGATTGTGTGTGTGTGTGTGAGTGTGCGTGTGTGTAGGATGACTTTCCAACTTCCAAGAATTCCCCATCTTTGGAAATTATCTGCCCTCCGTCTGTGGCCAAAGGGGTAGGCCTCAGAAGTCTTTTCTGTACCACATGATCCCCACCCCACAGCAGCCACAGCTGATGCAGCAGGGTAGGCATGTGATATAAATAGACCAATCATGTGCTCTCCCATAAGCAATTTGGGTGCGTGACCTCCAAGGGTCAAGTCAGTCTTTGCTAAAGAACCTAGAAGGTGGAGAGGTGGCCCTAGGGAGCTGGAGGGTGGTCCTCTTCCACAGACCATGTAGATGAGGACAATCTGAAGATAGAGACAGTGACAGGAGATAGGAGAAACTGTCTGGGATGCTGACAGCCTTGAGTTCCTAGTTCTGGCCCTTTCCTGAGGTCTGGCAACATTCTACTTCCGTGAGCCACCCCCTCCAGGTCTGATAACATGGAAGTGAGAGGGCTGCCTGTGGGGAGAAGGTCCTGTTCTTGCTTGAGCCAGCTGGGTTGTATCTGAGCAGGACTTGCCAGGGCACTGCCTCCTGTGCGTGTGTTCTTGCCACCCTCCTTTGTGGAGCACACTCTTCACCATTGAGGGGCAGGGCATGTGTCCTGTGGAGACCTCTCCTGCCCTCCAGACAGAGGTGGCCAGTGAGGAAGGTGAGAGGTGCCTGAGGAAGCTGCGAGGGGGGTGTGGGTTTCCATTAGCCGTGTGCTCTTTAACCTCCAGAGAAGGATGG